AAGATACTATTGATACACCACCTCCTAGTTGTGGATGCTGTCCATCATCTTACTGTCAAGCAAAACAAGCACCATGTTCAACAAACTTCGATTGCGAATGTTTGCTGATGACAACGACCGGAGGAGGAATGTGTGCTGATACAGTTATGTCATGTAAAGATTTAGTTCCATGTGAAAATGATAATCAGACATGTTCAGTACCCAATACTGTATGTGTCAATAATACACGATGCAACATTCCTGTTTGTTATCCCATTGAACGTGCTTCTTCCCAACGATGTCCATCTTTCACCCGGGGAACTATAACAAATACGACAAGTAAGTTTTTCAACAAAAATACTGGCGAATATTGGAGAAACAATTTATAGCTACGGAATCTTTGCCATTTTTTCAATACAATTTTTTAAATATTGTGTCCACTTTAGAAGTGAAGTTATAGGAATTATCTACACCTTATAGAAACATGCAACCCGCTCAAAGAATGCGACGACAGAATGTTTATCTCTAATTGATTTAGCCCGAAAAAGTGAAAAAAAAATGTCTGTCTATAGTTTTTTAACACAGATTTTCGATTCTTATTACACCTGTTTTTTTCAACCTCACTGTTGCCAAAATAAAGAAGAGGGCACATGAACCTTTGAAAACGAATCTGAGAACGCCAAGAACTGTCGAGAAAATTTTCTTCATGGTGCATACAGTTAGTCTAATCATTATTCATCCATCACAATAGAGTCAATTTGCCTTACTTGTCATTTCAAAATCACACAAGCTGTGGAGAACTTAGCTTTCCACCATCGTGTAGGAAATATTATGCAGTCAAGATGTCTGCTTTATGAATCTTTTTCTTTGAGAAAAACAATCATTTCCACAGATTTAAAAAAAGCAATTCATACTCTAACTAGCATCGACACTAGGAAAATGTTTGTAAGTGATTTATGAAATAGACTTGGATTGAGTATCCCTCAGTGGAAAAGTTCCCTTGGGTTGTGCAAAAAACATGTACTGGACTCGACGTGTCTCTTTTTCTGTTATTCTGAATTTACCAGCAGCAGAAACCTTACAATTTTCGTATGTTATACGCCGTACAGATCGACGTGTACCTCCAAACATACTTTGAATGCCAGTTTTATGTAAATGAGCTGATTAAAAATCGAAAAATGATGAACAACTTTTCGGTTTTATTCAGTGTTCATAAGAATTTTCACATTAGTGAACTGCTTCGCATGACTAAGCCATACGGATCGCAGAAATGTATAGGCATATTAATATGTACCAGGAAAATACTCAGGAGAAACGACTCGAAGTCACTCGTATCGAGTTATTCTCGCCTCAACAACGTTTTAGCTCCAGTGCAATTCACATTCTATATACAGAACACACAAGAAACCGCATCATGCCGAGACATTTGATGACGTATGGGCATAGGAGTGTATACAGGTATTTTTCTACCTACTGCTCAATCAGCTACGTTAGCTACTAATTAGAGTCCAATTAGTTGAGAGCCCCCATGAAAAAGTCAATGTCAACAAATTTCTCACCTACTAAATGATTACAAACGATTCGAATCATTCTGTCCACCTACTTAAGAATGATGCTCGGAACTAGGAAAAGAACTTGTATTTGCACTTGCACTGCCAGGAAAATACGTGTAACATGGTTGAGAGTCACCTACTAGCCAATATGGCCTGGTCACCAATGTGAAATCTTAAGATAACGACAAAAGATCAGCAAAAAATTTCATCTCTGCAACAGAAAATAGAAATTTTTCTCGTGATCTCGACAGAACGAAAGACAACTTGTTTAGTTTTCTAAAATATAAAGGAATGGCCCCCATCAGCTCTTAAATTTAATGAATCACTAGTGTACACGATCAGCTACCGTCGAGAATAGCTGTGTGGGAGTGAAAAAAGTACCTACTAGTACTCATACCTTCAAATGCTTGTGCTTACGTCCTAGATAGGACACTCCCCATTATGCAATAATTCAATTGCAGTCAAAATTACTCTACGGGAACTGTTAAATGGCGACTACTGTAGGGAAGTGTCTATCTTAGAGAGATGTTCAATATAAACAAATATTCAGCAGGTAGATATTCGATTCTAGCTAAATTCGCTCCATCGCGTCGAAAAATATCCGCTATACAGAAGAGTTCACTACAGGATGTTTTTATTTAATACACGATGACAATATTATATTGTGCTTTTTCTTACATGAAGCTCCAAGAACTTTGGCAACAACACCATCGACAACGTCAATAATCACTACATCATCGACATCGACACCATCAACAACAACAACCTATACGCCTAGCGGTAAGTAATAGGGCTTCTGAGTAATAATATACTTCATGGCTGTATAGAGAATCGACATCATAGAGCTCAAGCGACACGATACAATCAATGAAAGGATCATCTTCATTTTCTGAAATATAATAGGAAATAAGTGTTGATGCCTCATAGGTCCCGATGGCTAGAATGATTAAGTTTTCTAGCATCGCAGTATGTTAGTCAGTCTGACTCTAGCAGGTAATATGATCTGTGTAGGTAGGGATCAGAGACCGAAACCGAGTCAAACGTAACTCTTTGTCCGACTCAACGGCCATCTTTGCATTAACTCTCAAACACGAGTGATAAAATGCTCTTCATTATGGGGTTTATATTCTCTGTATCTTAAGCCTTTGCAAATTATACTTATCTATTAGTGTGAGAAGTCTTCTAGTTCAACTATCTCTGTGATATTGATATCTGTTTTCCATTTAATGTATCCAGAATTGAATATGAATTAGTCTGCAAGATATACTATCTCATGTGACCTTTCTTCTCCGAATGCATTAAATAAGAAATGTTGTTATTTTACTACCGAGAAAGGCATCTAAAATTTCGGAAAACTTTCATAATCTTTGCTCATAGAAGTTCAATAGCCTGAAAAAGCTGCTTCTTTCTGACCTTTCAGGAATTCAACCAAATCAGCTAATACCTAAATAATAGTTCATGTACGCTGTTCTAAATATACAATAAGTCCTGGAAATTTTCACCAGAGAAAATCTTTCACATGGCACGACACTTCTGCGCGTGACGTTTCGGTGTTTGACGCTATTGCGCCGACATTTATGCTCAAAATGAATTGTTTTTGGCTTGTTTGTAGCTGTGCGTCTGCCTGCTCAGTATGATTGTGAGTAAGGTGTGGGAAGAATGTAGGTGTCGATGAGTGGAATGTGGGTGTAGATTTGAGTCTGTGATTATATTGGGATTGGTTGAATAAGGACAGAAAAAGAGAACATGCTGTCGCATACCCACACCCAAATCTGAATTGATAGTATTTGTGCAAAAAAGTTTGAAAAAAATCGTCTCGATTAAATTAGAGTAGCCTTGTTTCAAAAATCAGCCAGTCTGTTACCCTATTCATAAGAAAGAGTATCAGATCAAAAACTGATATTGATAACTACATATTAAAAAAGTATCAGAGTCGTTTGGCTTGCCCAAACTCTGTATCCGATAAAACTTTGGAGAATCGTAGTTTCTGCTAGTAGGAAGATATTCCTGTAATACATGCAAACGTTACGAAAAGAAAATGAGTGTAAGTCTTAAAACTCGTTTTTTTGTATCTTATTATAGTAGTTTTTAATATCTTAGGAGAAGTGCGAATCTATCGGTCTTCAAATGTTACCAATATCATAAAAGCAGACGCTATACAAAATTAGTAAGACAACATTCGAATCCTAGATTTTCAATCGAGTATCTCTGCCTACTGCTTTGTTGTGCCTCTTATTCAGTGACGTATAGATGTGCGAGTGTTACGAGGACTAAACAGTTATTTAAAAAGAGAACTATTTCATCAAAAGCTGACATTTATATGTAAACCCTTGTGTTGCTTCATTAGGGAATTTGTTTTTAGGATCGTCGAATACCAGCAGCATGAGTTTTGGTCGATACCTTCACACTGCATCGGTACTAACTAATGGAAAAGTCCTTGTTGCTGGTGGATATGGTGCTAGTGGCTTTTTGAATACTGCAGAACTCTACGAACCATCAACAGGACTTTGGACCACGACCGGTACCATGAGTTACGGGCGATACGCCCACACAGCATCGGTACTAACTAATGGAAAAGTCTTAGTCACTGGTGGAGTTGGTTATAGTGGCTATTTGAATACTACAGAGTTGTACGATCCATCAACAGGACTTTGGACCACGACCGGCACCATGAGTTACGGGCGATACTATCACACAGCATCGGTACTAAGTAATGGAAAAGTCTTAGTTACTGGTGGATATGGTACTAGTGGCCTTTTGAATACTACAGAGCTGTACGATCCATCAACAGGACTTTGGACCACAGCCGGCACCATGAGTTATGGGCGATACGTCCACACAGCATCGATACTAAGTAACGGAAAAGTCTTAGTTACTGGTGGATATGGTTATAGTGGCTATTTGAATACTGCAGAACTCTACGAACCATCAACAGGGCTCTGGGCCGCGACCGGTACCATGAGTTACGGGCGAGGCTATCACACAGCATCG